TCAGCTAAGCAGTTTTACAAAGTCAGGACATCAGAACACAGGAGGCTATGAGAAACCGAGAGGAGAATGAGAAACGGCCTTGTGGAAGCTCCTCACAAGCCTTCCAAGGGCTCAAGTTCTAGGAGAATCAAAGAGCATTCCACCATGACTTAGATGCGCTGCAGTCAAGCCTTGCTGACATAACCTATGTGGAGATGTGCAAGAGCACGTGCAGATGCGCAGTGCACTATGGTAGAGCCACTCTCCTGTATTTAGTCCCTGCGGCCATTTATGTGACTTTGTTAATCAAAAGTAATGACTTTGGCCTGAATGAATTATTTCTTGACGTTAAAAGAAAATTAAGCAGAATGATTATTCTAGTTGAAGGAGGTTAAATTATTAATAATAAAGTCTTCACTAAACCTCAAAGTCACTGATTGGTTTAAATTCTAAATTGTGAGGATAAATACATCTCAGTCACTTCATGAGGCCCTGTCATTTGCCTCTGCATTTCCACTCTCCTGTTCCCCAACCTTTTTCTCCACACACTCGTCCTGCTTTCTGGAACAAACGCTGAGGAATGAGAGACAGAAGACAGGAAAATCCAGCAAAAAAATTGCTTATGGCCTGGTGTGGTGGCCCATGCCTATAATCCCAGCACTTTGGGAGGCTGAGGCAGGGGAATTGCTTGAGTCCAGGAGTTCGAAATTAGCCTGAGCAACATAGCAAGACCCCCCTCTATACAAAAATAAAAAAAAAAAATTAGCCAGGTGTGGTGGCAGGCAACTGTAGTCCCAGCTACTTGAGAGACTGAGGCAGGAGGATCACTTGAGCCCAGGAGTTCGAGGTTGCAGTGAGCTATGATCGCACCACTGCACTCCTGGGGAATAGAGCTAGAAGTCTAAAAAATTAAAAAATTCATCCATTAATGTCACATATATGTCATTTATCCCTTTTTCTTCCTTCCTTTTTTTTTGTTGAAATATTTTAAAGCCAATTCCAGAAAGTATGTCATTTAACAAACATACTTCAGAATGTCTCTCCAAAAATTATGCATATTTTCCTACAGAAACACAATACTATTATTACACCTAATGAAATAATATTTCTTTGGTATTGTCTAACACCAGTTCATAGTCAAATCCACAATTGTCTTACACTTGTAAGACATTTTATAGTTGTGATGTTTGAATCAGGATCCAAACAAGTTTCACACCTTACGTTTCGTTGCTACATTTCTTTAATCTAGAGCTTTCCTGACCCCTTCCCTCTCCTTTTTGTCTGTTGTTTTGTTGTAGGGACTACGTCCGTTGTCTTCTAGTGTCCCACATCCTAGATTTATCTCTTTCCTTCTTGTGGTGTCGTTTAACTTGTTCCCCTAATCCTCATGTTTCCTATAAGTCTGTAAGTGGGAAGTCAGTTTTAGGGATTGATTAGATTCTGTTTTGGTTTTTTTTTGGCAAGAACATTTTATAGTTCTGTGCTAAGTATTTCAGATGGCATTAGATCAGGAAGCACACACTGTCTGGAGTCCCATTTGTAGTGATATTTAGATTATTAGGCTCAGGCCGTGACAGCCTGATGTCCATTGTAAAGTTCCTCATTAAACTTTTATTTAATGGTCTCATCCATTGATGATTGTTGCCTGAATCATTTATTACATGAAAGACTGCTAAATGGTAGTTTTCCAATTCTGTTATTTCTTTCACATTTATTATAAAAAAATTCCCTCAACAACTATTTGGTTTTCTGAAACATAGTTCAATCAGGAAAGGCAAATCAGAAAAAGTAAGTTCTAATTCTTTCAATTGACAATTTTAGAGTAAGGAGTTAGTGCTAGTTATTTGCAATAGTGTCCAATGAATTTTTTTGGTCTTATTTTTGGCTTTCCTTCTTTGGAGCATCATTTCTTAATCATGAATTTTTGTATATTCAGTATGTTTCAAACAACTGCATTCATAGCTTTTTTTTGTTTCATAATATTATGGGAGTAAAAACGTTTTGGTTACATAATTTGCTTTTGTACAGTTTGAGTCAAAGTTATAAGTGTGCCCGTCACCCAGACAGTGTGCATTTTACCCATTAGGTGTGAATTTACCCATCCCTTCGTCCCCCTTCCTACCTGCTTGATTTCCATTTAATTTTACTACCATATGTACAGGAGTGTTGATCATTTAGTTCCAATTTAATAGTGAGTATGTGTGGTGTTTGTTTTTCCATTCTTGTGATGCTTCACTTAGAAGAATGGTCTCCAGTTCCATCCAGGTTGTTACAAATTTTTTTTTTTTTTATGGATGAGTAGTCATAGCTTTTTTTTTGATTATTAAATTGTTCCATCTTTGAGCTTGATATTATTTCCTATGTCCTTTTGACACTCTTATTTTTTATTTCTTTATTTTTTTGGAGACAGAGTCTCACTCTGTTGCCCCAGTTAGAGTACAGTGGGATCATCATAGCTGCTTACAGCAACCTTCAACTCCTGGGCTCAGGTGATCCTCCTGCCTCAGCCTTCTGAGTAGCTGGGACTACAGGCATGCCATCACGCCTGGCCAACACTCTTATTTGTTGCTAATGGACTCCTTACTTTATGCACAAGATAGCCTATACTCATCTTATATATATATCTTGTCCCAGACCTGAAGTCAGATATTCCTTTGGGCAGCCCTTGTTTGTTTTAGATGGAAATTGTATTTTAATACCAAAAACTGATGTGTCACATTATTTGTAATAAAAATGAAAGCTTATATATCTAAAATCTTATTTCAAGGCAGTCACTTTAGAATCAAGTATTTAGGTAATAAATAAAACTGTAATTGGTTGTTTTATTTTAAACTCACTTTTAAATTATTTATATAAAAGGAGATGTACACTATTCATTACAAGTTCACCTAAAATTGGGTTAATAATTATATACCAATGTTTCATTTTCCCAGATGGTACAATTTATATTCACAATTTCCCAAAAAGTTTGAAATGAAGGATATGAAGGAAATCTGAAATGTTTTCATATCAATTCAAATAATAATGTCAATGCTATCAGAGTTGCTATAGTAAAAGCTTTGAAAAAGTTTTTAGAAATGTGCTTGTTTGATACAACCTGTCAAATTTGAGTTTTAGCTTGGAATAAGTGAAGGGCTATAATTTTGGGTGTTAGCAGACTCCTACATGGGAATACATGACATTTAAACAAATGAAATGCAAAATGCAATTTGGCAATAATTCTCAAAGTGTGAGGTCTGAGGATCCCTAAGGGTTACTGAAGCTCTTTCTGGGGCTTTGCAAAGCCCTCCCTTTTTCAACTATAAATTTGTATGAGGGCCAGTTTTCTTCATAGTACCTTAAGTATCAACATAACACAATAGACTGAAGGCAGAAGCAGAATATGAGAATACAGCTGTCTCCATTAAGACAGAGAGTAAAGATAGTAAAGAGATTTACAAAAAATGTGAAACATGCCACTATTCTCACTAAGGTTCTTAAAAAGATATAGTCATTACTCCTAAAAATGAACTTTAAAGTAACACGTAATGGGTTTAAAATATATCTAAAGTGTTTCTGTTTTAAATTTTAATACAGTAAATATGGACATATAGAACCCATCCGAGCAAGTGTCTTTAAAGTTCTCAAACACCTTTTAAGAATGTAAAGAGATCTTGAGGCTAAAAAGTTTGAGAACTGCTACTCTATGATATTTTGCACTATTTGCTTACTGATTGTAAGTATGTATAGATAGGAATATATTTTACCATACATGTATATATCATAGAATTTGTAAATTTAATTATTTCAAGTTAACTTTGCTTAAATTTCTCCCTCAATATTAGATGTCTAACCATAATTTAAATTTGTACCTTTGGTATTAATACCCAAATAGAGGTCTGTTTACTACAGGAGGAGACAAATCATTGTATTTCAACTAGATACATAATCCAAATATTTAGCTTAGAATTTAATCGATGAATTTGAAGAAAGTGGGAAGTTCGGAAGCTTGATCTCAGCTGCTGCTTCTTTTTGAATAGATTTTTTTTTTTTTAAAGAGCAGTTTTAGGTTCAGAGCAAAATTGAGCAGAAGGTACAGAGTTCCCATGTATTCCTGGACCCCACAAATGCACAGCATTCCTGACCATCAACATTCCTTACAGCAATTATTTCCATGACAAATACGAAAACCTGGCACATATTCCCTTTAGGAGATTCTTGGTGTTCTAGTTATCAGGCTATTTAACTCTGAGTAGATTCTTAAAACTTTAGAATACATTTTTTTGTTGTTTTCTTTTTGGTCTTTTTAAAATTACTTCATCCCTCTTTTTCTTTTGTTCTTTTTTTCAATTTTTTTAGAATAACTTTTGAAACGAGTAACAGAACGTCTGTAATTTAAATTAGTATTGAGTGATTAAAAAGTGCACAGAGTAGTTTGGCAGTCTCTAGAAGTAGAATAAAGACAGAAGTAATAAAGGTATAATCGGAGGAGGGGTTAAAAAAAAAAAGAGAAAAAAACATTTTATGTCGGTTTAGTACTTTTGGGTTCCACTTTCTTTGTGGGTTGTAATAACCCAGTTAAGAGTTTGTACCATTTGAGGGCAAAAGCTTAAGCAGGAAATTTCAGTTTCTCCTAAGTAAACCACCGGTTCTGAGTTTCTCCGTTTGGCTTGCCCTGAGGTGGCAAAATTGTTTTCCTGTGTGCATACAAGTAGAAAAACCAGAAGGAGTCGCCAGTGAGGCGCTTTACCACTAAACCTATGCATTTAAGCAACTATGGGGTCTCAGTTTCCTTACCTGTACAAATAAGGGAGGGGCTGAAGACACAGTTTCATAAATTTTTCTGCTGTTTGTTGTCCTCCCAGCCTTTATTACGATGCTGAGCTTAGGGCAAGTGCTCAATAATTGCTTGCTGAATGACTGTTGTTTCTGCTCCGTTGTAGATCCAGGCCGGGTTTTCTGCCTGACCTGCGCAGCCGCTACTGGAGCCGGTTTCCTCTGGGGGCGGAGCTTGGTGCTGCCGCCGCTCGCTGGGGTTTGGGGGCGGAGCTTGCCGCCGGCGGAGGGCGGGGTTCGCGCGGGGACTTCCCCTGGGCTGAGCGGTGCTGCGGGTGCGGAGGGCGGGGGTCTCTCGGCGGGTGCGGGGCTGTGAGGCCGGCAGGGGTGGGCGGGTGCGCAGCCGCCAACCCTTGGTGTTCTCCTGGGTTTGGGACCCTTCTCCGGGAGTCGGCCCGGCGGGGCGGGCGCTGCCGGGAGGCGGAGGGTCTGCTTGGCCGCGAGTCCGCTGGGACTGCGAGCATGTGTACGTGCGCGTGTTTATCTGAGGCCCGGGGCGGCCTCCTCTTCCTCCTACTCCTCCTGGAGAACTCCGGTGGGAAACCGGCGCCTAGAGGCGGCGACGACACCTGCCCCAGAGCTGACCCGCTTGCCCGCCCACCTGGTCCCCCAGAGCGCGCCCTCTCCTAGTCCCCACAGAGGGGACTCCTCCGGCCCCAAGCCCTGGCCAGGAGGGAGCGCTGTGGGGACGCGCTGCCTTCTGCCTGGAAGTGGGAGTTCTTTGGGCTTGAACAACAGGATTTTAAAGCACATGCCTGTCTCTGTCGTTTTTACTTTTAGGCTTTTGGCCAAATTGGGCGAGGGCACAAAATAGCCACTTACCCCTTCTCACCGAGGAAGAGCGGGAGAAAGGGTAAGTAAGGACTGATCAGGGGTGGAAGGAGCAAGGACTTTATCCTGGGAGAGTGCGTGTGCCCTGAAGCCTGAGCATGGGAGAGAAGGGCTAGATCCAGAACTGCCCCCGGGGAACTTGGGCCCCAAATCTACTTTTTCATTAGGAACAGGAGGCCCACCTTCAAAGGTCACAGGCCCCAAACCCAGGACTTGTTTCCAAGCTTACAGTGGGGGTCGAGTTGGCTGGGAGTTTTAACAGCTTGGGCATAGATCCCTTTTAGCCACTTGACCTGACAGAAAAGTGTTGTTAACTTTAACCTCTTTTTAACTTTGGGACATTGGTCTTACAGTTGTCTGTTTTGGGCCCCTATCTTGTTAGCCAGCTTTGACTAATCCCTGCGACAGTAGTATTAAAGAATCAAAGTCCTGCTTGATAATTAACAGGAATTCCCTCCAGGGATCTTTACATTTTAAAAGGGAATTCATGAAAAAATCCTGTGGAACCCCTAAGCCTAAAGTTAATAGCAATATCGCAAGTGTTGAAGTTCTTTGGAATCTTCTCAAGTTTATAGAAGAAGATATTTTGAAGGGAGAGATATTACCAGGCTGGGCCTTTTTCTCTAGGCTTTCACTTTGATACCTCCACACAAGCATTCTATTCACTTGTGAAAAGTCGCCAAACAGTACACTGAAGTCCTTGGAGGTTTACTGTGATTTCAGCATGGTACTTTCATGGGGTCTTCTCTGGGACTTTTCCATCACTTCAGTACACTGCTTCCCTCTCTCCTATATGGTGAAATGAAACACAGCTCCTCACACTGTTGGAAACCCCTTAGGGATCCTATATGTCATACATAAATAGACATTTTAAATTAGTTAAAATTCACGTTAGCTACAGGCAGGAATGTAGCAAACCACGTTCTTGGATGCTTACACAGGAAAGTTAGAATTGCCTCCTGTGGCCATCTTGACATTGGCAGCTGTGTTCTGAACCTGCCTTCTTATTTGTTTGTGCTCAAGTGGTGGGTGACCATGTAATTTATTTTATGGAGATCCAGGAAGTGGTTGTCTGTTGATGATGGCTTCATTCGCTGATTCAATAGATAATTACCTTTTTCCTACCATGTGCTGAGCACTGCGATGAAAGTAGAATGGTGAGAGTGAGGAGACTGCTGGAGATGGCCATTTTGGAGCAGGCCTTTCACCAGTTTTTTGCGGATTTTCTGAATAGTTATGTGTTAATTGACAAGACCTTCCCTATACTACTGATCTTAATGGTCTGCAGGTTTGTGCAGTTTTGTGGGAGAAATGTTATTATTCTGTCTTTCTAGTATTTGCAGTAATAAACTTGCAAGGATGTCCGACCATAGTGATTTGTGTCCTGTAATGAATAGTGTCATAGTCACTTTCCGTGTACAAGTATAATAATTAGATGAGGATAACTTTTTGAATTGTTCCATAAGAAGGACCTAATGTTAGCAGACATGGAGAGTGTTAATTGAGGATGATGCATTTAGTAAAATAAATAATAAAGGAGACCGATACATAGGTTTCTGTGCATTTAATCTCATTTTTTAAACTCTAAGCTAGAACAGTTCTTTTGTCTTTTTCTGGTTATAAGAGTAATATAAGGTCAAAACAAAGTTCTTTAGAATTAAATCCTGCAGGCATATAGAAGGTATAAAGTGAGTCTTCTATGAGTCTACTCTCAGAAGACCACTGTTAACAATTTGGTATTTATTTCTTCAACTTTCTGTTTGATATATGTATGCACATCTAAACACACTAAATATACAGCTTAACTATGTACAACATACATATAGCTTAGCTGTATATTAATATATGGAATACATATTGAATATAATATATATGTATATGTATATATGTTACTGTTATTTGTTAAAATTGTATATTTCTTCCCTTTTCTCCAAATCCTGGCTATTTACCACTACTCCTCGCTCCATCCCAAATCTTCATGTAGAACTAGTATGTCTTTCATACTTTAGATATGACCTTGAATTCTGGCTCTTATTACCTGTGTCACTTTTGGCAAGTTAAAACTTATCTGCTCCTTGATTTCTCACCAGTCAAATCAGAACAATGAGTATATAAAAAAAAATGTGTGAAAAACAGTGCCTGGCCTGTGGATTCTCAATATTAATTTATTTGGTCACCCATCACTTTCTTATGATCTTCCTTTTGATTGTGGAAAGCAACTTTCTAATAGGTGCTAAGCCTCCAGAGTATTTGCATTTTCACAGGGACCTGCTGTATCTGATCCTAGAATTTCTGGAACAAGGACTGACACCTGATGTGGCTCGATTTCCTCCTATCAGATCATTCCGTAGCCCTGCCTAAGGGGTGTCAGCTTGAAAAATGAAGGGAAAGGGTTTCTACATGTCTTAAAAGCTCTGATACTGTTCACAAAGTGAGAAAGACATACTACCACATTTAGATGAGTGCTTAAACTTAGGATTTCTATTTCAGAAATGTCTTTGGTTTATAAGAATTACGATAAAAATGCTGATGCTTCATGTCCAGACTGTCATGATTTTGCCAAGTTATGCGTTTAATATACAGCTAAGCTGTGTATTTAGTGTATCTAATACTGCTCTGGAAGCTGAGAAAGACAAGTCCACAGACATCTGATTTCACACCAGACATCTGGTTTCACTTTGCTGAGAAGTACTTTTTGTCAGTAGATTATAGGCATATCAACTGTACTGCTGTAGTTTGTGGCATTTCTATCATAAGCTCTGTTCTGTAGGGTTTAGTATGTTTTATTCAAATGACAGCACACTGAAAACGAACACCTGGTCAGATAAGCACATTTCCCACAGGTGTCTTCTAATGTCATTGTTCTTACAAGTTAACAAGGCGAAATAGTTTCTATCCTTGGTGATTTTTACATTGAGTTTTTGTGGAAGCAAAAATATTCTTAAAGAAAAGCCTCACTCAAGAACCCATTGTATTCCAGAAGTTCATTTTTAAGTCTATTATTGTTTGTAGTGTTAACAATGTACTCATAGGAATAAAATAACAAATAGTATTTAGATTTCCAGGTCAGAAGCCCAAAGCTTTTTTGACTCATAGTGTGCCTGTTATGTGTTAGTGGTACTGAAGACTCTAACCAACATTGATAACAGTATTTTGGAGGTAAGTGTATTCTGAGTTCCAACCTAGAATGGCTGGACCACATCCCCCTCCATTTTGAGGTAGTGAGGGGTATAGAAAACTGTAAAGCCTGTCAATCTTAATTTTTCAGGAGGGCTCTGTCATTGCTTAGCTGTGTGACCTTGGTCCCAAATTCTTCATCTGTAAAATGGGATAATTATTCATGATTACCATGAGATTCAGTGAGTGTGTTTATAAAGTAGCACAATGTCTGCCACAAAATTGGCCCTCAGTAAATAGTAGTTTCATTTTTTCCTCTAGCTTCTGGCCATGAGAAAAAAGACCTTCTGCCTCTCCCTTCCACTTATATCCAGACTAACCCACTGGCCAGGGACATGTGACTCCAATGGAGGGGAATCAGCCATGGGATCTGGAATTTGGTACTGGGGAGTGGGGAAGGAGTATGCAGAATAATGACAAAGGAGAGTGCTGGTGAACTGAGAGAGGAAGGTGCCAGTCTTTTGCTTAGTCCATGGACTTAGACCAATGAATCATTTGGATCATAAAACCATCTTTTTCTTTGGCTTCTCTGTTGATCTTCTGTCAGTTGTTCCATTGGAAATGCTTACCTTCTTACTGTTTGCTTAGTCCAGTAATAAGTTTTTTTTGTCACCTTGACACTACCTGAATAACCACCGTACCATATTTTTCTATTTTTTTTAATGAATAGGACTTAATAGTATTTGTATTTTCTTAAGATCCATTTTTTTTTTACATACTCAAAATCCAGTTGATTTTCTTGCCCATTTGTTGGCCTATAGTTCATTCATTAACCACCCTCTCTTCTTTTTTATTACATGCTTATATGCATTCAACTAGTGATGAGCATATAAAGATGAAAAAGCATTGTCACAAGGAGCTTGTAGTCTAGTAGGACTATAGACATCTTGACCAACAGGTCAAATACAACGTGCTATTTGCCATAACAGAGGTAGGTACAAGTGCAAAGGAAACCTAGCAAGAGCTCTTGATCTCTGCCAGGAATGCCAGAGAAGGGTTTAGTAGTGGTTGTGTTTGAGCGGAGACTTGAAAGCTGAGCAGGCGTGGGCATGTTGACAAGCAGCAAAGAGCATTTCTAGGTGGAGCTAACAGCAGGAGCAGTTGTGTGGCATTATGAGAACATAGTTTGTTCTGGGAACTATATCTAGATTAGTTGTATTAAAGTGTGAAGGGCAAGGTCAGGAGTGAAAGGAGGTGAAACTGGATGGCTAATTCAGGGTGTGCTTCCTATCCCATGTGTAGTAGTGAGCCTTGGAGAGTCATGGGTGGTGTGAAAGATCACTGTGAAGCAGTGTGCTGGGTAGATTGGGGGTGGACTGGAGTAGGAGATGGGGATGTGGCAAGAGGGGAGGCCATTGAGGACAGTGCATCAGTATGGATAAGAGAGGTCAAGAGCTCAGACAAGGGTAGAAGTAGTGGGGATAGAGAAGTGAGAATGTTTAGGAAAAGTAGGAAGAGGCACAATTGGCTGGTCTTTGTGACTGAATGTAAAAGATATGGGAGAGTGAGGTTGCTAGAATGCCACCCAGGTTTCTGGGTAGTGAGTGGGGAAGGAGAAGAGAAAGCATGTATGAGGGAGAAGAGAATGAGTTCAGCTTTGGATGTATTTAGTGTGCTTGCAAAGCATATCATTGGTAAGTTGGAGGTGTCTAAAAGGCTTCGATATAGGATCCTGGAACATCACAAGAGATTGTGAAGGCCAGAGATACAGGTTTCTGAGTTTCTTACCATATGGAGAGTAGTTTAAGGCATGAGTAAGGATAAAAGTGCTTAGAGGAATTGTATAGAAAGAGAAAAGGGCTAAAAATAAGTCTTAGAGAATACTGAAATTTAAAGGACAAACCA